CAGAAAAATGATAAACGACAGAAAGGTCAAAGGTCAAGCAGGGAAAAGCCAACAGGAAGGTCTATACAGTCAATGACACAACAATCGAAAGGAACAACCAATCACAGACCACATCGTCAAGACAAGCTACTAAATCACTCACGGAGAGATACTCATAGCTCACTTCATACTGAAGTTAGTGTTGATGATGTCGTCTAGCAAGACGATGAAAGCTTCACGATTAAACAACCCAGCTCAGAGAACGCAATGCAACCAAGGCATTAAACGTTAGATGACATAACCCCGTGTATAGAAAACAAGTGATTTGTTCTTACATTAGCCAGTGATACTGAGATATCATCATTCAGGATAAATTATTTTCAACTTATTGCTAAAGATAGCCACATTTTGCATCCATCAAACTTAGTTTAATGAAATATGGTTATGACGTAGCTTTTATTTATTCAACTGTAGCACAAAACGACATTGAACTGGATTGAGTTAAACACTGAATAAACTTTGAGAAATTCAGGACAAAGATTTTAAAACAAACACACAGAAAGCAGTGCCAAATCGACGTTACAGACATCAAATTCATCTAAAAATGCCGACTACTCTCATGATATGTTGAATATAAAAAGGGTAGTTGGCAACACATTGGATAACGAATAAGCATAAAAATAGAACAACTAACAAGTAAATATTTTTCCGAATTAAGCACAGAAAAGGATTCATTGGGTGAACAAGTTAGTTTAGTTGCGGCATGGTCACATGATCGAAATCAAGGTGGATCGGAAAAACAAATATGGTAGTTATGGAAGAAGACTAATAATCCATGACGCCTGTATCATGACAAATATTAAGTGATTTTTACCATATTATTATAAAATAATTTATCGCATTAGAATATTTTAACCCGGCAGTGAAGTAAATTTAGAAACACTTTGGGACAGTGGCAACTATTCACATATAATGATATTAGATAGGTCTATGCAAAAATATAAAAGAATGAAGTATATTTGTACAATGCCGATGAGGCAGGAAAATAAATTTCTGACGTTTCGCGACCTCGTGGAAATCGCTTCTTCAGAGAATTCTTCCTCATTGCGATTTTACAAATACATTTAATTCATGATTCGTTTACCAAATGCTCAACTTATTCAAAAATATAAAAGATATTTTGGTAAGATCATAATGTACAAATTAAGCTTGTGGGATTTTGAAGACCGACCTTGAACTACCCGTATCGCTCTTTTAGCTGGAGTTTGACTATAGAAGGATGAAAAGAACGTAGATGAGACTGTGTAATCTCCTCCAGAGAGCTTTTGGAATTTCGGACGAGTTTATGTTTCCAAGAGTTGCGAAAATTAACTATAATACCACAAAATCAAATGCAATTCAACTCCAAACCAAAATTCTAAATATTTATTCTAACCTTATCCCACAGATAGTAAGTCTTAATTTAATTGGCTCAGGAATCTATCTCTCTACAAAGTCACGAAAATTTTTCGACTACAGTTGTGGCCTAACTAATAAACCCTAACTTTTAACCTTATAATTTGGTTCCCGAAACCTAACAGTATATTTCGTCTAGTGATTCGATTTCTGATAATTTTAAGGCTGATATGCAAGTATAACCAAGCAGTTATTATGCCATATTAAAGTGACTGAATAAAAGTTATTGGACTGTAGGATGAAATACTGTTTACATATTTACCGAAAAGAGAAATTATACTGACAAAAATTTTCCACATAGAGTGAAGACCTCAGTCTTAATATCGACAAAATATCATGAGACAGCCAACTAATTAAATTCCATCCGATCTAAAGCTGATAAACGGGTTTTCAGTAAGTTCCTTGAAGGAGATAAGCATGATTTAACAAAGACACTTGATGATCAATTCTCACACTAAATCAATTGCATAACGTAGGACGACCAAACTAACAATGTTCAGAATGAAGCACAAAGTTTTATAAAATAGATCCAAAGTAGTCAATGAAGTTGAAAAGGTATAACGACTCTACGATACATATCTAATAACCTTAAAATGTGATGTCGACAACAGTTGAAGGTATAGAGAAGGTCATGAAGATCTAAATAAAGAGTGTATAAGCCTATAGGTACGTTTGGTATCAGCCAATTCACAGCATCTGTGACACCGACTCTCTATTAAAGCACGAGTATACTGCACTGAAGTCAGTTCCATCTTGTTATATGGCTCCGAGATACGGCTGTTAAAAATAAAAGATATCAAGTTGTTACAGGTCTTTAACCATAGATGTCTTCGTAGCATCTCTCGCGTATGGTGGAATCACGATGTTGGCAGTGTCGAAGTTAAGCGCAGAATACTAGAGGCAAGGAAGGATAGATGATCGATGAGGTTGTGAACCTTCAGTGACTGTGTGTATGTGAGAGAGAGAGAGGGGGGGGGATATGTTGTGCTGTGCTGTGCTGTGCGTGTTGAGGCACTGCTTACCACGATGTAACATGTTGGGGGAGGGGTGTGGGGAGCTAGATTGGATTGGAAGAGAATTCAGGGTGACCAGACAAAGGTGTGACACCAATGTATGAAGCTTCCAACATTTGGTCTGAGTTGTGTATTGAGGTTTAGACTATTTGGTTGGAGTTCCTGAGATCATAGGGATGAGTAATTGATGAGTCTTGTTGACACGACTGGAAATGTGTCACAATGGCACAGATGCATGCATTCTTTGACTTCTTCTAAAGCTTGACTATTTGTTCATTCTCTCATACACCTTCTTCTACTTTGATATCAGTCTTTTTCTATGAACTTGTTATTTGGGTGCTACTGTGAATTGTGACAACTTGAACCGATATACTTTTGTATGAGGTTCTGCGTTGATTTGATCTACCTGCCCGTCTTTGTCTGTTTGTCTGTCTGCAGTGTGACCGAACTGCCTACAGCATGCATAACAGAATAGATTTGCAGTAGGAGACACAAGTAAAATTGTCAGCAGTGTTTCATGTTAAAGGAATTATCGCCTTAGTCTAGGTACATTCACCTCCATATCACTATGCCATTACTACATTTCACGACTGATGCCTCTTTTTTAGGCACCTGTGTGTGTCTTATAAATAAGTTTATTAACATGACAGTTCAAAAATGTTGAAGTAAGCTACATGATTTCACTAAATACATTACTTGTACTACTTAGATGCACTCTCAATCCCTTTCTCATGATATGAAGTTACTCTGAAGTTAAGTACCAAAGCTACTGTAGCTTTGAAGTAAACTCTAGACATTAGAATACTGTGGCTTAAGAATAGAATGTATAACGGTAACTGCCTCTTTGATGACGATTGTATATCTGTAGGTACACTAACGATTAACTGCACTGTACATTTGAGTTGAATGAAACGAGTGGAGTACGAACAGTAAAATTCAATTAGAATGATGTATTCTATGCATCATTTTCGTAATAGTGTCCAAAATAACAATCAGCATTCATTCCTGTAAATCAAATTCATTTATTCAACTTTATTCACCACAATAGGAAGAAGGGTGTTCAATTTTAATTGGTATTGAATACTGGAAAACAATTTTCGTGACAGCTCAATAATATTAATGACCAATCACTTCAAGTTTTAGTGGGAACAACATCAAATGGGAGGCAGGTACATCCGTCTGACGAGTCCCAAATAGAATAAAACGTGCGTCTTGGACTCCACTGCTAGCTACTACCCATCATTAATATCAGATTTGAAAATACCGGCAATGTCGAGGCATCCGCAGAGGAACACATAGGTTAATAGTTGCTGATCAATTTGATCCAACCAAAGATGGGCGTGCACAAGCTACAGCATCAAAGAAAACTCAGTAGTACTTCAGGAAACAACTAAACTCTGAAGTTAAATACAAGACTGACTGAATCTATTATACAAGGACATCCACAGCACATACTAATTATGATAAGTAGAGAGCTTAGTCAGGTAAACTAGTTGCCAAAAAAGGCATTTTACTTCAAAAGAACACAAAATTTTCATCAGCTAAATCGACGAAAATCTCCAACGTATACAAAAGACTCTAGCCAGTGAGATTTAGGTAATCAAAAAACAACCTTCTTAAAACAGAGGAAATCAGTAGTTCGCATGAAGTCTGTCTTCAATAAAGAAGAGAAGGGCAAATATCCACATATGAAATTCAAAATGCGCATATACTTTTTAATCCAGCTTGATTAGGTCGTACTCAAGTAGAGATGTTATACACACTGAAGTAAAACAAATTTGTTCTATAGTCTTCAGGATCGAAATCTGACCTGACAGAATTGAATAAGCTGGGTATTGGGTAAATGGATTATTTAAGAAATAACCAAGTAAAATCCCAATGAGATGCATAAGTAAATTTCTGACACTTTAGGACATCGTGGAACTTGCTTCTTCTGAGAGTGAAAAGGAAGCGGCCTCCACAAGGTCGCGAAATGACAGAAATTCAATTTTTTTTACTTTATTGGAATTCTAAAATATATTTCCTTTAAAATGTGTGCTATATTTCAGTGAGTTTGGTTTGATAGTAATGTACAACTTGAAAATAAAACGCTTGCCAACCGAAAGGTCGGCTGAGAAAACTACTCATTCATTTATATAATTAACTGTAAGTATATAACACTACATAAGGCTTATAAAACCTCTGATGGAGCCGATTTATGGTTCCGTAGACTCAACTTCTAATCATTTGGCTCCGAGCCCTAATTTTGTTTTTGTAATTCCAAATGCGCATAGTTGGCTAGTATTTTTATGTATATTTTACAGTACAGTACAACAATCTCACGGTTTTGGGGTTGCATTATTATTACCACGCTTGAAAGTAGTTTCGCAATAGGATTATAAAACCAATCAGTAGTTATCTAATGATGAGAACTGCCTTCAATTCCAAGCATTCGCATAGAATTTAAGTGCTACATTTTATTCAGCTTTCAGCCATGAACTTTAATTGTTCGAAATAACATTTTGTGATGCATAAATGCTACAATCAAATAAATAAAGCAATGAAAAAACTTACAATAATTGCATAGTGTAAAGGAGTTGCTCCATCGATATCACGTAGGTTTGGATCAGCACCATGCATTAATAAGGTTAGTGTATCTTCAAAATTATTATCACGTACTTTAATGTGCAGAACAGTAAGGCCCATATCATTACGTGCATCTAAATTCGCTCCAAGGTTGCATAGTCGTTCAAAAATCTGAAGAGAACAAGAAACATGATAAAGATGATCAGAAGAAGAATCCATCAAGAAGGCAACAAGTAGTAGCGACTAGACAGTAACTCTCCGCAGAGATAACCTATATACGTAATGTGAATCCGTTAAAAATAATCACAACAAAAAACCTCAGTAAAACAAAATGATCACATTATTGAAACAATTATAGAATACGTATTCACCACAACTTTACTGTGATCACACATGTCAGCTCATCATATCTTGTTATTCAGAACTAAGTATACGAATAGCAGTAGAAATTATTCACCAGCTATTCCCTGTTAACTCTACATTTCACGCATAGTGTGAGATGTAGAGTTTATACACATAACAAGCTGTTAGACCGAGCATAATCTTAAAGTATTAGTTGTTGGATAACATGCAAATTTGGAGCCTTTTTGAGAAATGCGCTACAATAATGTGGGTGTGGGTGGTAAGACTTAAATCATGCTTTCGGATTCATCGAAACATTTACCATGTTTTATTTAAGCTACATCCCTTAGTTTCTCTTATCAGTAGTGTATGCAAAGTGTAGGTATCAGATTTCAACTTACAAATTATGTGAACACTATACGATGACAGATTTAGTACATAACGTTAACGGGTGGGACGTAGTTAGCCACTAGTGTTTATCAATCTACAGTTGAAACAGAATAGATAAAATAGGAAAATTAAGACCTTAAAATAGTCCAGATAGTCATCACATTTCAATACTACAGAGAGAAAGACAAAACGCAAAACGTGGGATGAAAATTTTGATATAAAAACCAGAAACCTCAGGATGACCTAAAAGATACCTAAAAAGAAATTAGACGTACCTGACAATGTCACGCCTCATAACATATTCACATAAAATCCATAATTTTATCAGTAAACAGAAGTTAGTAAAAAACAGTATCGTAAGCTTCATTAAGGAAAGTAATAAACCTGATGGCTATATAGATGTCATACACGGCTAGTAACACATCCTTTGTGTCAAAACGCGCCTAATAACCACATGCACATCCGTAAAATGGGAAATGACCAGCACCAGTTGTGTGGGCGCTACCAAGCCCCCGTAGGTGGGGCTGGGTTTGAATGAACCACCCACTGGTTGAAGTTTGGTTGCCTAGATCAATGAGCCATAGGTTCACCATCTGTCTACAAAACATCAGCAACATTTCCTTTTTGTACTGACATAATGTAAGATGCCATGTATAATTCCTTCAATGTAATACTTTTAGTTGACAAATAATTCAACTTCCGTGAAACATAAATAAGTATTTATCTTGATAACTAGCGGTGGAATCCGAGACGCACGTTTCGTCCTATTCGGGACTCGTCAGCCGGGTGTACCTGAGTCATATTGTCCCCACTAAGACTCGAACCCAGTTCCTATCGCTTCAAATGCATATGAGACCATCTGGTAACGGAGGTCGAGAAATTCGGGCCCGTATAGAAACGGGAAGTTATAAGTATCAAAACAACAATAAATAACTAAAGTTTATCAAAGTGTAGTTATGCTTGTTACTCGTGTTTTCGTCAAGAGTAATTCGACACATTATTACTCATAGCACCCTATTATCGAGTTCAGCAGTAAATTAATTATGCATTTTTCCAGAAAATAACCTAGTTCAACTTTATTATTACCATAACCACACATAGGAGCCCATATGCCAACAGAGACTGATCAATTCAGTCCAATCAACGACGGTGTAATACAAGCAATAACACTATAACCACTACCACTAATGAGACAGAAATGGAATGTATGAAAATGCAATAATGTGATTTCACTTCAAATTAAACCAAGTAAACAAAATATGATACAATTTTAAAGATTAATTCCAAATAGAATGGTATATGACTAATGACCTAAAGAATTATATGTACACACTGATTTGTATCATTACTTATGCGAAACACACGGACATATAAGATCACCTCATTTTTTTAAAAAGAAAGACATACGGACATCATATTGTAAATTACTACATTTACAACTATAAAAAGTTTAATAAGCTTATATACTATCAACATATAAATTACAAATAAATACAACATTAATGGTTATACGGATGTGGTGAACTGAGGTAAAGAGTGGGGCTAAGTGAAACGCTAGCTTCTTTTCACGCAGTAGAGACCTAAAATTATATTCGTCTACCAAATTATTCGTTTACAGGGTAAAAATGAAAAATAGACATCATTAGTATTATATCCAGTTAGAAAAGAAAAACATAGTGGAAACGAAAAGAACTATGCCTAGTTAACATATGGTTAGGGCCATGTGGAGTATACAAAGGTTTTTTTGTAATACGGACTCTATGTAGATACTTTTTACTCTCGCCTTAATTTTATCACAAAATATGACTAAACACCTGCTCCGATGTGTAGTAACTTGGCCGCACGTTTCGTGCCGTACATCACACGAAACATCCCTGGAATTACTGGCTAGAATACGTTTTATTTATACAGATAACAAGAGATTATGACAACAGTTGACTGCTCTCTTGGTTTTAAACTTGACTTGTGAGCGTTGTACCATGCAGTCAAATAGTTTTATCAGCCCTTACTTTATACATAAATGTAGCTTTCAAATTTTGTCGGTTCTTTATGTTCTAGATAATCTTCAGACTATTATTGAAAAGTATATCAAGTATAATGCCAATAGTACATGCATTCCTAAATGATGACCTGAACGGACTTATAATTGAAAATATTACTTGAATGAAGTAAGATGTTTATGATTAGTGATAAGCCTTACTTACTAACAAATATCGACTGTACTTGACCCTGATGTTTCACACAGATGAGTCACCTGATGAAGAGAAGACTGGATGAGCATGACTGTTCCCAGTTTTAATATATATAAAACTTAGTCACTGTAGTAGAATGTAATTCCATATTAGATTTGTTTACTTGGTGTATAACATACAGTGATACAGTATTATTTATTTGATGATGTTTCAAGCATTAATCATTGCTCATGATCATAGCATTGATATGAGCATACTCAACAAGGCCAACCACACAAGAAAATAAGTAATGTATTCTACGGCTATTTCTGAGCAGTTACTCATGAAACACCGTGTAAAGGACAAAATAAAGCTTATTAAAATAGCTACAATATTACATTGACAAGATTTCTTTGACATAAAAAGCAAGCAATAAGTCACTGAGATGTCTAAGTTTCCTGTTCCCCTTTTCTGCATTTCTTTTTAATATTAGAAACGGAGGAAAGTTGTTCAATATATTCGGATGAACAATATCCAGAAGTTTTTCAAAAGGCTTAGAGCTTAAATTAAAGGAAAGAATGGTAATGGTATATCCATGGTACTTATGAATTTAAGTCCCATAAACTTCATGACTTTCGAGGAGTACGAATCACAAGTTAACGCTCAACTGGAAAATAATAGATTACATGATTTTGATCTAGTGCAACAGTGGTAACGTGACTGATATAAGAACTAAAGGTATAGAGTTATATTCCATGTGTTTATGGTTCCACACAATTGAGGAGTCTCAGAATAGCACGAAATGACTGTCAAATGCTCTCCGATTTTTAGTGACCATACGTTCATTTCAATTTACGATGACAAACATCTTCATGGCCATCACCAAACTGCCCTATCGAAACATCAACTGGGTATCAATTTAATAATGACATAAAAGTCAGTAACCATATGAATGAAACCATGTTTTATTTAAAGTGTAATGCTCACAAATTAACCATTTAAATTACTTTTTTACATTAAAAACAGTAACAGTTGAAGTTTATGCTGACCATCTACTTTTCAAAAGACTTTTATATTTTGTTTCGGAGTATGCAGATATATAGGAGATAGCTGGTGATAAGAGTTAAAAAATACACAACAGGAATCATGATTTGTGTTATCAGCTATGTGAATGAGGTGTAACAAGATCGTAAGTGGAAGTGTTTTTCGAATACGGCATTTATGCAGTGTCAAATATACTTGATAATAGTACTAATGCTGAACTTTCGATTCGCTTAACCTCATCTCTTGAGAGACAAGTTTGAAGATGTTTTCGAATCCTAGGTGATCACCCAGTTTTAATTGTTCCACAGGAAAAGTTAAATTGGTACATGAATGACGATTTGCTTAGATAACTCATTCTTACGTTTTGAAGTGAGAACTGAATGAATCCTGAAGCATAAACACAGACGTTCTGAGAAGAATATCTTATTTATTACTCTGGTAGGCTGTCTTAAACCATGTAGCTTGGAACATTTCTCTTGAGTTGCAGGAATATGACCGAAGGCTTTTTATTCACTGCTATCAGATCACTTTTAGGCTTACCTTGAGATATGTTTGCTTTGACAGACTTATCGAAATATTTGCTCTCACTTAAAGCATTTTGGAGTTGTTTCGGTTTGCTCTCTACATTCAGTCAATATCACATGGAAGCTGGCATTTCTTTGTAAAGGTCCACGTTGCCACACCTTATAACGACACATCAAGATGAATTGTAGGGAAAAGAGGGAGAAAGTATTCCGAGTGGCAAAAAGTTGCAAAAAGAGAACAAGGAGAAATAAAGCAGTACTTAAATTCGGTATGAAGAGTACGATAGACATGATGTGTGACTGCAGCTGCGCTACTGAGAATGATTCTGAGTCACATCTCCCAGAGTTTTCAATCACCTATTTCAGTTGTCACGTGGACCCCAACCGCAAAGTCTACATTTCCTTACACAACTCATACCAGCAGTCAAAAAGTTTATGGACTGATGCCATATTTCATTATGGTCAACTCTAACCATTAGTCAGCTTGAAGCTACATCAGCTAACAATGTGAAGGATAACTTTGGCGCATTTGTACTTAACAGTAAATCATTACACTCCTTATAAGATTCAGTAAACAGTGTAACGAAGTAGGTCAGGACGTTATCAGATATAAGGTAGAATCCAAAAAAGTGGACACCATGCTACGATCCTCTTATGTTTTCCTGGTTTGGACAATGAAATAAAATTCAATGGCTGAAATTTTCCAGCATTAGTTAACCTTCCAGGAACATCAGCCAGGGTTTCACGTCAACCTTTGAACAGTAGTTTGACAACTCAATGGTGTGTACACTACATGACCTTCTGGTTCTGTATTTTGTTCTGACACAAAAGAGTTAGGATTCTATACTACAGAGAGGTTTATGTCTAAGGTCAAATAACTGTTTAGTATCATATGATATCCACTGCACATTTTTTCACTATATCTTTTGGAGATGACTACTCTAAAAATAATTAAATTCCTCAACAAAAAATGTCCAATGAAAAGTTCTTCAATGTATAATTGCACTAAAAAAAACTCAAATGGAACCTTTGTAAATTGATTTTACTCAATAAATGAAGATTTGACTCAAGCACGAGAATTCATACACTGAAGATCCCGAAAGAAAAATTGTTTGTTAGCTCAGCTGTTAAAATTTACCATATGCTAATTATTATGAAATAAAATGAAAACTTAAAAACACAAAAAATGACAATATGCTTACTTTGAAATTATGTGCCAAATGGATTGGAGTGCTGTGATTCGACAAATCTGGCAAACTAATACAACTTGGACAATATGTATAAAGCAAATTAACACACCTGTTCATATAAAAGAGGAGAGAAAGAAAGGAGCAAATCAACAACCACGTGGGTGGTGTTTACAATAGTCTTTGATAGAGACAATAAATGATACCCATTTATTATATTAATAATGATAATAATATTAATAAGCTTAGTAATTAATATTATATAAATAGTGACAGACGCATGAACGACAATGCAACTCAGTTACCCAGTACAAGTTTACATACAGAGATATAAACCCCACTTTATATTTGAAGGCTTACGATACTATTTAGTTGCTAGAACGTTAGTGAATTGTGCAGGGTTTCGACTTGTGACAAACAGAGAAAGGAGCCACAGGTATGCAGTAGTACACAATACTTAGGTAATGTTATGCATACAATTTTTAGGAAAAAAACACTTCCCACTGAACTGGCTATATCGATATCAGCTGTATAAGATGTTATATACGCATACTGAGCTTATATACACATATATTATGTGTGAAAACGTCAATAACATGATTTATACAAGTTATGATAAGAATGAATTGCTATGATTAAATTCCACAAGTCAAGACTATAAATAATAAAGCAGCATGAACTGAACCGAAATCCACTCAGTAACCATGTACACACTCATACAGTAGGCAATCAGTCACACCTATTATCGGAAGGCTTACTATAATACCTAGCTGCGCAGACCTTAGAAGTGGATTTGTTTTCGAACTCGTGACGTATTGGGTTGAAGTTAAGCGCCTAAACCAATGAGCCACTTAACATAACACAATATAACAAATCCCGGGAGGTTTACCCATTAACTTTATTCCTTACTGGACGCGTTTCAAAATGTAATTTACCAAGGATATACTAAACCCTGTAAAGTAATTACAGTAGTGTTGTGTCGAAAAGTGGAGCGCGTCTACTAGTCACCAAAAGTAAATAAGATGTTCACTATGTCATATTACTTACGAAGTTTACTAAGTATTGAAAAACTATCTATGATTAAAATGTGTCAGCACTATTCAGGAAGCTCATCAGTAGCATCCTCAGCTATAATAGTAATCAACAAAGGAGTCCAAATATTTGATAATGCAAGGAACAATGTGCTGAAGGGAATCACAAACACGCACAACACGTAAGTTAACGATTTCCATTGGTTTTCTTTAGCAAATCAAAACTAATACAGATTCTTGAAGATATGATTGATCAGAAACTAAGAAACTCAGACTATTATGATCACATCACGGTATCCTAAAACTTTCAGTTAACGATGCCTAGATAAAGTGCATAACAAATGTAATAAGTGATCGCAATGTTACACACACTGCATGTAATCTTTTACATAGAATTCACAGCTATTTCTATAGGTTTGAAGAGAAAAATAAGAAATGAAAATTTAAACCGTGAGGTAGGCACTTGAGAAAGCTGTAATACTTGAATGTGCAAGATGTAGAGAAAGAATGAGTCGAAAACTTGAAAGCGAAAATAATTTCAGAGTTATCATACAAACCTAATAAGATCGACGTAGAAGATTCCAAGTGAGCATTATAAGTAGTAATATAATAATGAGTAGGTCATTCATTCGATTAGGCTACCCCATACATAATACTTTTTAAAAAGTTACAATAATGCGTTGACAGACAGACATATAAAATCAACGTGGAACCACGCACATAAGTGCATCGGTTCAAGTTGCCATACTTCACAGAAATATACAAACGAGTGGTGGTTGGGAAGGTCTGATATCAACAACTGAAGTGAGTAAAAAAAAGTCAGGTAAATACAAGCTATCAAACTAGTAATTAGCTAGTAAAGAAAGAAAATTAGACTATAATTTGTTTTTTAATGTAGTTATACCCACGAAGCTACTTGAGAATTCACTGTCAACCTCAACGTCCAGTATTAGCCAAAATACGTACTCAACCTTAATCGAATGTCAACTAAGCTCTGTAATCATATTATCGGGTTGGATAGCACCCTACTAATTGAAAAAGTATGTGCTTTATTAGGAACTCGGAATAGAAGCCTCACAAATTTTTGAAATATAGCAGAGTATTTATCGCGAAATATAATAGCTTAAACTTCAAGGGGAAATGCATTTTTATTAAGACTGATGTCAAGAAATTATTACTATCATTAGATACGTAAACAATTTGAGGAAAAGAGAACAAATAATGAGACCTTACTCCTAAACTGCATCATGCTTTAGTTTTTTCCAGCGATTACGATCTATAGTTGAGGGTGTTATACATAACATGAAAACAACTGGGTCGCGTATAAAATTTCAATGGAATGAAACCTCAGGTGATAAGGACAGTTAAAATTTTATAGAGCCTAAGTCTAAGTAGGCGTTGTTTTTCACCATAAAACTCAGACCTACACCAAAGCGTATGCAAATGCAGACGTCCTGTACAGCTATAGTACAGTTGGTTGCATGATTCAGAGAGTGATGTTCATAATAAATATATTTATTCTTGAGAGTTCAAATCAAGGAGTTAATTCAGCGTAAAATGTAGAGAATAAAGTTGGGTAGGCAAAAAATGACCGAAATTATGTAAATTTATTTCAATGAACTTACTCAAGTGAATCATTACTGACAGCAATGTGGATAGGAAATGATTCAGATTCACCAACCAATGGATTACAACCAACTTTTAACAATTCTTCCACACATTCTATGGAATTACTGCGACAGGCAATGTGTAATGGTGATTCACCATATTTATTTAATCGGTTAACATTTAAACCTCTAAGGTTTTCTAGTAGGAGCTAAAGACCAGAAAAGAATAAACAAATCATAAGAATTAGAACAGTTATAAGTTCCGACATTCATTTATTTGATGTTTGGTGAGAGTCACTGTTAACGTAGTGACTCAGTGTCATGACTTAATATCCGCTTGCAGTCTTATTTACCATGATGAAAAATCTTATAAGTTAGTTTTTTTCTGACTTTTACATAATAGGTGAAAAGGATCAACCTCTGTGCAAATGAGATCTGTCAATATCAGTATAAAGGGACAGAAATATTTTGACTTGCTAACCGCCACCACATAACAATATGTCCAACACAATTATTCGCTTTTTATGCAGGATTTCATCTCACCGGTTAGAAAGTTGACATTCCTGAGGCAAATTATTCGACTGAAGTAGCAGAAGTAGACGAAAAAATTATTGGAATATGCTATGCGTAAATAATATGCATGAGCCACAAAAGTAACCAGTAATGTGTAACTTTTTGAAGTGTTTGAAAGACAAAATGAGTTAATTTTCCAGGATCGTGAGGCTCCAGAGATTTCTATTTGACAGCTATACGCGCAAAACCTAACATAAAGTAGAGATGGATTTGTTCCTTGAAGAACTTTACTGGAAAAATGAAGTGGAGAGACAGCATAGTTTGAATGCCGATCTCTCGAGAGAAACAGTTTACTGCCACCGCATTCACATCTAGTCCGCAGTGCGAATTCGTCCTGACGTGACCACCATTGTGCAAGTCATTGGCATTCCAACAGCAGCAGCAACAGTATTGTGTTACACTCAGTGTTGGAAACTGTGATATTCTAAACAGTAAACATCACACTTTGAAACATCTAGGAAATTAAGAGAAGAGTTTCAACATTTGATTTCATCAGTTGAATCTCAAATAATACTGATGTTTTTGGTAAAGGGAAAAAAGTTGTTGTTACCTATAACAGAGGTTTCGATATCCGCAAAACTCCAGTTGCAAGAAAATGATAATGCTGACTCATATTTACCACCACCAGTTGCTTTTTTCAAAAGATATGACTAATATGTAGTTTGTAAAATTCTGCAGGCAAAAACCTGACTGTCTTAGGGTAGCCAATTCGGTTACTATGAGAGCACCTTCCCATTATCCCTCAAATATCTCAGGTCAGCGCTCAAACTAGTGGCTACTTACTCATATAACCACTCTTGATCTTTTCCAGCCTTCTCTTGATTCATCTAAGTTACTTTTAGAAGTCAGTGTTAAATTGTGTCCACATAAAGTGACCTGTTTATGTCAAGTAATAAAGGTACGACTCACTTAACTCCTTTTGCATAGCTTTTAAAATTGCTCATCTGATATTGTCAGTAGGTGCATCGGAAGTTCCGAAGATAGTATCGCTTAAATAACTACCCGTGTATGTTTTCGGTTAGTAATCGTCTTACAGTCAAGCGCCGAAATGAGTTATGTACCTAACTTATAACAAAAACTGCTGAATGTGGATAGTTATCACATTATCACTTCAATATAATTGAAAATTCATAAACATCAACTACACTTACAGATAGAATTTCCTTCGATGTATGCTCGGAAGCCAAATGAAGCACTGTATTACCATCTTCATCGCTTTCGGATGCCATTATATTATCCAAAGTTACCAAGAAGCGGACAGTCTCTCTGTCTTTTTCTTTTATTGAAACTCGCAATGGAGTAAGACCAGAGATAGGGTCATATTCATTTAAAAGTCTACAATGCAGAAGTCAAATCTTTCGAAAAATTAATGAACCTACTTCCTAACTGATTCACCAAGGAAAAGTTCGCGCCACGACATTGCTGCAGCTACATGAGCAGCTCCCCAACCGTACTGGTTTCGAGAGTAACCAGTTACTTTCTCCAAACAGGTACGATCAATGGTTAGACCTATATTTACGCAGGCTGAATGCAAAGGATCCAAAACTTCTATGTATCGCGAAAATACAGCAACACCTGCTTCCTCTTCACCTTGAAACCTAAAGAGGCTAGAAAAATTTCGAAACTATGAACAAATGAAGAAATAATGATTACCTGTATGCATGAATATTTTCTCCATTTCCCGAGCTACCAACTGATCCTGGTAAATATATCATGTCAAAATGGTTCGCCACTTTATAGAAATAGTAGATTGATTTCTCTTGAAGTAACTGCTCACAGCTAAAATGTTTTATATTATTGTGTAACATGCTTAGTGGACCTACTCTTGATATTCCGATTCATATTGGCTTATAGTGTAAGATATTATTTTGTTAGGCGAAATAGACGAAACAGCTGTTTTCACAAAATTACTGACATATTTCCCGAAAGAAGTCATGATCTTCGAGTCACCATACGAATTTTGTATTGGTTGTTTATCACTACATTACACAAAAATTCTTTATACGTGAAATGCAAACAAGAAAAAATGAAAAGTAATAGACATAGTATCTATGCATATAACAAGGCATTACATGACTGGTGGTAGCAGATATGGTTGGGGTACTAAATACAACTAGAAAGTCGCATTCAGGTGGTACTCTATTTATTCGGATTGTTATATCGAGATATCTTATTTACAGACGTGACAACCCCTTTCTAACCTCATAACCGAAGATAAAAAAGCAGCTACTTATCTAGTTCTAAGGAATTAGACCAGTGTCAGCCAGTCACTCTCACTGCAAATATACAACCTGCCATTACGAAGTAATGATCCCGATTATGCAAAATTTCACCGAGTAAAAAGGAATAAAACAAACGTCACAGAAAAAACAAAAGCAGTAAGTGATGACGAAACGCGATACAACGGATAAGGTAACAATGAAAGGTGGATACACCCATGCTATTGTGATCTATTCTCAATCACATCACTAGTCCCCAGTCATTGGCTCGTTATCTTGAAGACCCATTATTATCCTACAAGGTGCACGCACATCAACCGTTGGAGACTTCATTCATTGGTTCTATTTCTTAGTCTAACCACAGTCAGCTTCATTCAAGGTAACTCTACTTCAGGTGATAACGAGTTGCAGTTTGGAGCAAGTCAACAAACTTACCACATATCCCTGCTGTCTCAGCCAGTGAAAGTTCACAAATTTATCCACTAACTTGACTTTTCACTTAACATAAAATGCGCATCTCAACAGTACACAGCGGTTTAACAACATGCTGGGGACAATAGGGAGGCAACGATCATCAAATGCCAGGGATCTTACGTTCTGTAATGTTACTGATCACGTTTTCCAGCCATAAAGTAGGGTGCAGTGAATGTTTTGCAGTAAATCGTACATTACAGATATTTAGATATCCTGTCAACGAAAAAAGTAGTGTAATTTGGGGGTAGATCGAGATCTTGGTGTGTCTGTATCTCATCGGCCATGGATCCGCTACAACTCGTGTGAATTTCCAGATGAAGTAGTCAGTCAATCCAATTTTTAACAGAAAATGAGGTAACACTGTAAACTAGTCCTTAAGCAAATGTTTGCAAACGGAAAGTAGGAAAAATATCTAAAAAATTCTCAAGATGTCACAAAATGTCAGCGTTTTCATTTAACAGGACTACATTATATGACTATTCCAAGTTCAATATGTTTCCTGTGGGGAGATCATTTCCAACAAGCGATGGATTCCTGAATATCTTTGTGACTACCAATGAGAAGAATAGAACTTGGAGCTAAGCAGTGTCGTACATAGTTTATACTGCCTGATCAGGTCGGATCAAAGTAGTAAAGATAATTCATCTTACACAAGCAAGTTTTGCCGAGTGAGTCCGAAGTGACAACCTACAAATAGCTGAATCTATTAGGATCTAAGTAATAACCTTCGTTTTACATCCAAATCTTTACATAATTAATTACGACTTTTTCATTTGGTGAACAACATGCGTTTCCAAACTTCTTTTATATCCACACTATTTTATGTTTATTACATTTATTCTTTAGTTTTATTCATCTATTTCATCAGATAGTGCTATGCAACTTGTTTTATTCTCTTGAAGTGCAATTACATCCCTTTACTTAAGGTTGCAATTATTCTTAGAATTATCAATATAAATTATCAATAATGTGTAAGCCACACATTTGATATCACTGAGAAACTAAGACAGATTTTGACACAAAAGTCTGCAGATTAGTATATTGAAGTAAAACATGACTAGAATCTTAATGAAAATAATACTAACTACATACACTTTATTTCAAATGTCTTAAATCCGACAGCTTTGAAACCTAACGGCTGATTCACACCGTGATAAGAACTTCGTTTAACCACTGGTAAGTGAAATACAAATAAATATTCGAACATGTGATTAGACACTGCATCAAATTAGTCACAGAAAAGTTAGTGACGAATTTGTGAATTTCTGAGATGCAGCCATGAGAGAATCCATACTTTCGAACTAGTCAGAAATACGTCTCAAGTCATATTGCTCTCTTACACATCCGACTAGCTTTAGGAAATAAACTGGTTTTTAGCCCTAGTAATCAGAGGAAAAAACTATCAAACATGAAAGTTCTCCCCATTTGTAGATTATATTAAGTGTAGTATCAAATCAGTGATGACAAGTCTGTCTTCAAGTTTATATTTAGTTTGAATGACTTTGACACAAAGCAGATGTGTTGCATAGTTCCCACGCCACGTTTTGCAAAGGTTCAGAAACATTCTCTACCATGTAGGTGAACTCAAGGACATGAAGATTCTTTGCTTTCGTCATAAAAACTTAATCGGTCTTCATATTTCTTGACTTTTGACAGCATTTCATTCATTACATAGAAACGAAAGTCACAGACGTGGTTTGAATATCCACTTAGTCTGATCATACAACGAGATGGTGAAATGAACGACCGCTTCGCGCATCTCGGCAGAAGTATTCAACTGTTTTAAGTAATAAACAATTCCACAGCGACAAGAGATATTGACTATCCTCTGAAAAACAAGCTAACCATAATTTTTTAATACGTATCGTATTACTAATTGCACTTCGTATGTCAATATGATACTTGCCGCAGAAAATACGTTAAGTAGCAGTTATAAGCCTTCTTTGTGTGAAGAATCGGACGAAAGATGCATTTTTCTACCTTCAAATGAGCATACATAGAAAGATACATAAACACGTAATTTAGTAGACTCAAAGAGAGATTTTTTGACTGGAAGCCTATTTGTAATAAGGAAAATATCTCATATGAAGCATATCAAATGGCATGGTGTACACATTCAAAGAAATTTGGTCTCAGCATGCCTCTGTTTTATGACTGCGTGAGCGTCCTCATTTGACGACTTATTTTTTTAACCTCATTATATGCGTCCCTTCATAAATTGTGGATTTTTGCGAGCTGTCTGCAAATTTAATACTAGTAGTGGTTGTCATTATATGTGCAGCCAGTCGTGATCAAAATGAACATCTGAATCATAAAGACCATCAAAATTCACTTGCAACTACTTAAGAACATACTGTTTCAGCCGATCTCACTACAAGACAAAACTGTTTAGGAGAGGAGACCCCCAAATAGAGCGCGTAACTAGGTTGAAGGTTGACTAGATGCAATACATTGCATTAAACAAGATAAAATATATCGGAAACGTTTTGGATATAGACCCACCGAGCTAACCAGAAGAGCTCTAACTGTTCTAAATATACCTCATACTTACCTGAAATCGCTCTTGGTTTATGTATATTCAATCCTGATGCATGAACGGACCGGAATTTGAACAGATTTTACTAATTTAAGTTTCCCACTGAATATCACATCAGAAGCTTTTCATTGAATTATGGATACTAAGAGGACTAGGACATGGGGTGAGAAAGTTATTAATTTTGGTAAAAGCGGGGTGCACTTATAGCGTCAAGCCAACTATGAACACTACCCAATTCGTGCCATATTGGCGAGACAATGAGGAAACATGGTTTCTGTATGCCGAGGTAGATTCTCGAGGACAAGGAGTCGCAGACCCTCATTCTCGATTTCTTGCCGCCATACGTTCACTACCGCGGGAATTAAACAGACATGTTACAGCGCACATGTTTAGTCCTGAAGTAAGTGATCCCTATGCATTTCTGAAGGCACCACTCTCGAAGAAAAGCCATCTCATAGATCGCCAGCGCCTAGACGAATTGCTTCGTAACACAGAACTAGGCAGCAACTCAGCTACTGAAGTCCTCCCACGCATGCGAGAAGTAATTGGTGCACGGACATTCGACAATGGTCTTTTCCGAGAACTATTTATCTCAAAACCACCACAACCGGTGCAAACCGTGTTGGAGATTCTAGCAGACCCGCCTCCAACGTATATTCCGTCTGCGACAAACCAGAGAGCCAGGATTCAGAGGTAACCAAGCTGTGCAGCTCTGTTAAACAGTTGCTACGATCCCGAAGTCCTAGTTCACGTTGCACTTCACAGAAAAGCATCTTTCGCACCGCAGCAGCTCGCGTGGTTGCCCCAAAACTAAACCCAACAGGGTGGAAAGCTCTAACTGGTGCTGGTTTCATAATACGGAGACGAAGCCAGGAAACGTCGGAAACCATGCCGTTTTAAGAAGTACACAAACTCGGGAGACGGTCACGGTGGCACGTGTTCAAGGCAGCCGTAGCTGGCGGAAACAGCCGTTTGCTCCACGTCACGGATATTGAAACGAAAGTCCGCTACCTTTTCGACACCGGCGCAGAAGTTAGCGTTCTTCCCGCACCGACAAAGGGGCGTCATCATAACCCACCCTTCAATCTTCCAGTGGCCAGCGGCAAGGCAATCGCGACATTCGGGAGACGGTATGCCTACCTAAACTTAGGTTTACGTAAACCTATCCACTGGATTTTCCTCCTGGCTGACGTCTCTATGCCCATCGTTGGCATAGATCTGCTAAACCATTACGATCTACTCGTAGATGCTCGCCATCGACGACTGATAGATAACAACACAAAGTTATCTGTTGGCGGCACCACCTATGTAGGTCCGAGTTTAGCCCTCGTTAGAACCAAACAATCAGGTGACGCATCCTACCAAGCAGTTTCGAAGAAATAACCAGGTTTGCGACAACCGAGCATACTGTCCCGTGCATTACCAGCAATGTTATGCATCACGTCAAACCACATGTCCACCTGTGGCATCCAAATCGCGCCGTCTAGCCCGTGATAAGCTCAAAACGGCGAAGAGCGAATTCGACCACATGCTCTGACTGGGCATTATCGGACAGTCGAACAGTCCCTGGGCATCACCATTGCACATGGTTCCCAAAAAGGATAACAACGACTGGCGTCCAGCCAGTTATTACCGAAGGATTAAAGCCAAAACAACACCGGCAGATAGCTCAATCATCGAAATTCTTGACGATGTGCCTGGTAATGCACAGTTACAGTAACCATCGGCACAACAGAAAACACGATCAGGTCGGACCGTCAGGTTCTCGGAGTATTTGAAGTCGCATTCAACTTAGTAGAGTGAAATGAGATGTGCCAAACATATATTTTTTAATTCAGTATTTTTTCGGGGCACTATTTTTCTTATTTACCGGCATTGCGAAACCCCTCTTACATTTCGTCCTTTTGTATCAATTTTCATTACCATGTAATGAAATTTTTTAAAAACGGTGAAAATAAGCGCAAACTTTATTTTCGACATATTTACATACGCATAATTCCCATTTTTATGAAGCGTTTTCGTGGCAATAAAAACTTTCACTTATATTCCAGGTACAACGAGCAACGGACGAAAAGTCAGAGGAAACTGAGGACCGCGATCGGCGTCCAATTCGACTTATTGCACTCTGTTTTTTCACTTGCCCCGACACCCTAGAATAAGTTCAGACAACAAGGGGCCAATTCTCACAGTGAGCCCATCGGAGGAGCTTTACCAGTGGAGAAACCACTGGGTTTTTAATTCGTCTTAGGGTCCTCACGAACCCACTGGGGGGGAGTGATCCGTAGCGTCATACACTTCCCCGAAACCAATGGCCTGGGGTTTGGCGAGATTTAACATTGATGCTGACCTTGACAGTTTAACTGGACTCGCTAAGCTGAAGGCACCCGGTCAAGTATCCTCGCTATTTGGTACGCTGTCGTGTTACGTCGCACTGCTCGTATTCGACTCTCTAGCCAGTTAGTTGGAACGCATCGGTATCTTGGTACAACCGTCCAAATATACCATTCCATCCGACTACGCTATCGTGTTCTTCCTTGGTCTCGTATTCGTGGGTATATAGCAGTTCCGAAAAATTGGTGATTGGTCTTTGCGTCTGTCAAGTTCGCACCAAGGCAAATCCTAAACACTCACATAACAGCATATAAGTATAAATGTGGCGGCAAACCTAATGCCATCTAAGTATGGGAATTGTCCGTCAAACCACGATTATCCCCCACCAACTTACTGATAGCAAAGAAAGTTTCTCCTAGTACAGGAAGTTGCCTGACTCCGCAAATGGTGATTCACAAAGTAAGGAAGGAGGTGTTGGTCAGGTTAGGCTGGAAGGAAAACGAAATTGCACGCAAGCAAAAAAAACGGTCTGAGAAAGTTGTTTACATTTATTCACGTGGAAAGAACTCGTCGTATGACTGCCTGTAAGGTCACACCGCAGGTGGCTGAGGTGCAAACCACTTGGCAATCTAAATATGCCATCAACGCCGATGTCTGCGATTTGGCTGGTTGATCTGCTTGGATCGCAGCTTGGAAAGCTCTGAGAATTCTGTTGTAGTCCTGATACTCAACTTGGAGAATCAACCAAGTTTTCAAAAGCTTTCATCTTAAGACCAAGTGGTCTTTGCTCAGCTTCTATTTCTACCTTTCCAAGTCTTAAATAATTGAGGGGCGTCCACCTCTCTTAACACCCTTGTGTGGCTAGAATTTAATTGAGGGAACCCTTGAGTCATGTTATCAAACCCATCAACTGTAGTTCACATCCTAAAGCCGAACACATCGGAAGTTAATCAATCCACTTGCCAATAAAAATCACACAGTTCAGATAGGTATGTTGGCAATCTTTCTACTGTCCAAAGAAAGTGTTCGGTTTCAAAATTCATATTTTCACATTTTGCCTTGTCTCATTCGCACTGCAATTTTCTCCTCGTTTTTTTCTGCATAAAAACCACGAACTGACTGTGATGTTTTGAATGCAAACGGTTGACTGACACCGTTTCTTTAACTGAAGCTGCATGAAGTTTACACAAGATGCTGAAGTACACCCACATTCCTATCCGCCGGTGCTGAATCTGTGAATCTCCTCAGAAAGGGAAAAGCACTCGAGTGCTACTCGTCTGTCATTAACGTGCGACGGCTGTGGTAGACAGGACATCAGTATGGCATTAACAAAGAAAGGCAAAACATTTCACATTGAGTGTCTGAACATTTCCATCACGATCGCTATTTGCAGAATAACTCTTTTAGGGCTTAATTGCATGCACCACAACAACCAATTCTGGTGGAACAATCTGTACCGCTGTAAAATGCAGTATATGGAGGGACGGGAACATATGGATTTAAGTGCTCATCTGTCTTATAAGTGTGCAAATACTAACTGATGCCTTGAGCCGAAAAGTGAGCCTTCACAGCCAATTTGGCTAGAAGCTTTAGAACTGATTTACAAGAGGTCATCGTCCGATGAAATAACAAACTATAAATAGAAGTCAAACATACTGACTAATAGTAATGAAGCCATCTTGGATTTCACGACTTTGATCCCATCGGTGAACGGCAAAACAATAGTGATGATCTAAATTCATGGACGCCTCATATGCCGTGTTCTTGTACTTTTCATGACCGGCCGATTATTTTGATGTTATCGAGTACGTCAAGGACTGACTTATGTACCTTACAGGGCAACACAACAATTGTAATCCATCAAATATTATCAGTGCGTTTATGCCCATAATCCAGAGTCTATCACGTCAAATTCACGAAGTGAAAACAAAACTGTCAGTATTATTATTGGCGATATGCTACATCACCGGCTGAAATGCAAAGGAGGAATTCCAACGGATCTTGTCTCTGAATGAGGCGAAAAACCCTCCCCCCGACTATGCCGACACACTGGACATACAAGTTCGGGAACCTGCTTGCAGAAGAGTTCAAGGCACAATCAGTTGACACGGACAGCCTAGCTGCAGAATAATCACGTAATCCATCCGACGACTCCCCTGGTTGCCAAACTTCATTGCCGTTACATTTTAATCACGTAGGTCTTTATTTATCATTCATATATTCCCTTCCTTAGATTTCTTTTCCTCATGCGAATCGTTCTGTTACATTTCACTTGGACCATGTGGGTTTTTTTACGCGAATTTAGGTTATTGATTCCCTAATTTCTAAATATCTTACGTCTGGCAACCATCGTACTTTTAGATTGTATGCAGCTGAGAAGTATTCATGGACTAGAATTGTTTCATTTCATTCTAAAAGCCTCATCCTTCTTGCCTCGTCCGCTTTTCTTTTTACCCAGACACTTGGTTCATCATTTAAAATCGCCACTGCTGTGCCAACCTCAAAATTTCAGGGGTTTAATTATATGGCTGTGCCCACAAACCAGCTTGTACTTATGCCTACAAGAATAAATGCCTGT